GTCTTAAAACCGCCTGTCACATAAAAACTTAAGAGGGAGGGGGATCAATGGATTTGTTAGAGGGAACACGGCCAATTGAACAGTTAACTATTTGCCTAATGATGGTTAAGTATTGGCTTAAGTTAAGTAGAGTAGATGCCAAGCCTGAAGCCAGGTTCGACTTGTGACAACTTGGTCCAACAGTGCTGGGTAGTGGGTGCACTGGAAAGTGTAATATGGAGTGTTGGGTGCTCACTTTGATGTACACACCTAATCTGTCTATCAATACCCATGTCCTGGTATCATGGGGCTGCTATTGTCATACTTAAAATGATACAACGTATGTATGCTCAGTTATAGACTATGCCGCACCACTTATCCACACACTCCTTAGCAATATAAGAAGGCTCGAAAGAATAAGACAATTAAATAATAACAATTCTTGTGTCGCAAATACTGTGCAGTGCGTGCAACCAGTCTCCTAGGTACGGCCCGGTGCGGTGCGTGCAACCAGTCTCCTAGGTACGGCCCGGTGCGGTGCGTGTAACCAGCCTCCTAGGCTTGGCCTGGTGCAGTGCGTGCAACAAGCCTCCTATGCCCGGTCCGCTGCGTGCAACATTGAGGCCCGAGACTGTTCAACACGCTTCCGCTACACAAAAGGGGCATAACTGGCCGAACCCCTCACAGGGTTCAAGAGAGAACTTGATAAGCATCTCCAAAGGATAACTGAACAACCAAGCTGTGACTCATAGGTCAGGCTGCGAGCAGCCGCGTCCAACTGCCTGGTTAACCTGTCCAGTAACGACAAGGACCGGGACGTTATGCCCCGAAATTGTCTAAAGGTAATCTCAAGAATTGAGATTCTTGAGATTACCTCAATTCTCGCCTCGGCCCGGCCCAGTGCGTGCAACCAGCCTCCTCGAACCCGGCCAGAAGCGTGCAACCAACCTCCTAGGAAAACGTTTTTAAAACAGTCTAACGTTCTCTGACTTTCAGAAATCATTCCCGCCTTGAAAAGCAAATAGAGTATCGATCAGTATTCCAGGCGAAGAGAAGGGAACAATCAGGGGAAAACGCCAAGCAATTACGACTATATAGTGCTGGGAAGGGGTCAGAATAAGGATTTGGGATGGGACGAAGGGAAGGAATGGTGCCCAACCACTTGGACGGTCGGGGACTGAACGCCGATCTGCATGAAGCGAGACCGTCCAGCCCAAGTGGTTGGGCGTATTCCAGGCGAGTTAGCAACAAAAATTTGAAATGCTGGAGCATCACTGTGGTGGCATTACAATTCTTTATTTGAATGTTCTTCGTCCATCCAACCATTTTCCAGACTGCTGCCAAGCTTGCTTTAATATGATCACTAAACGTTATGTCATCCGAAGTCATTCTTAGATCCTCCACTGACGTCCTTAACCTTCCTCGTAACCTGCATAAGCTGCACCTGCCTAGTACCTGCATAAGCCGCCTCGCCCTGCTCCGCCCAGATTTTACCATTGTCGAAGCGCTTTGCCCTGCCCAAAGGATACTTATCAACTAGACTGCTATTCATACGTCAGGCTGCGAGCAGCTGCGATTAAAAGCATATTTGACCAGATCATCAACCAACAGGCCTGGTCATTGACCGGGCCGCGGGGAAGCTAATCCTCGGAACGAAAGGTATACCTCCTTGCTCTGCCCTGCCCAATAGGTTAGTTACCTCGAGTTGGTTCCGACAACCAATATCCCTGCGGCTGTTTTCCGGCCTGGTCTAGTGAGACAGGCTGTTATAGACGTCGCGCCATGCAATCTGACATATGAAACTGTTCGGTTGATCATGTACCCTTCTGAGGAGTTTATCTAGTTCTCTTGGAACACAAAGTTCAGTGTTATAGTCATAATGGCTTAGTACTTTCCCCTGATAATTACCTTTGGAACACCAAGAGATCGGCTAGTTGTACCCTTATGCAGTGTTGAAAAACGTCTCGAGTTTTAATGCGTATAGACTTATGTAAGATGCCTATTGCATCTCTTACTTTTCAATGGGATACGGTCAAATCTTACACATGACGGTTTGACAAAAGCTCGTCCTCGGTGTTAAAACTGGTAGTTAGGTTAGGCTGCGTTACGTGGTTGGGTAGGTTTTAAAATCTAATGAACCGTCTTGTGGTGTGTGACTTGCAAATAAATAACGCGTGTGTGTACTCACCTAGTTGTACTTGTGGGGTTGCACTTCGGCTCTTTGGTCCCGCCTCTCAACTGTCAAACTGGTGTACTCCTTAAGCCTACTGGGCTCTATCAAATTTACATTTGAAACTGTGTATGGAGTCTGCCTCCACCACATCACTGCTTAATGCATTCAAATTGTTAACTACTCTGAAAACATTGACACTGAAAACATTCTATGTGGCTAATTTGTGTACTAAGTTTCCACCTGTCCCCTTGTTGTGTTCCACCCGTGCTAACGTAAGTGTGTGTGTGAGAAAGAGAGAGAGAGAGAGAGGCTTAGAATTGCGAGATTTGACAAAACTATATAGCTTAATTAAAATACGAATGATTGATAACTTGTATACATCTCATAACACGACCAAATTCAGGCTATATATCCAAATGCAATGTAAACTATATTATCTCTTGGTATTGAGGGGTGCATCTTGCCTCCTTCCCATATTAATTAATATGACGATTTGTCACGTTCTACTAAAAATCTTTGCTGGAAACGCTATGCGCGTTAGTGACTTTACAGGAATGTAAAATCATCATTATGTACTCTATTAACCCCCAATGTACCTTGTATATAAATAAATGCCATCATTATGGGAATTTATTCATATTTTGAAACCATTAACATTGGAGCTTTAAATGTACAATAAGTGTTCATACGAGGACGTTGTTACCTAGACATATAACCCTTGCAAACTATCACCAAGTTTGCTCAAAGAGAAAGGTCGATTTCACATAAACATCCAATATATTGTGATGTTATATTCCCTAGCAACCCACAATAAGCCGTGGCCAGGGCCTCGGGGGACAGGTATAGCTCGGCCAACGGCGCAGCCACCACGCCATCACCGAGACTACAACGCAGCGGCTGCCTGTGCTGTAACCAAGCAAAGTGCTGACAGGTAGGTATAATCCTTCTCCTGACTGCCTCGTAGGTGAGCAAACCTGAATAGGTTCCCCCATCTTCAGGTAGCAGGACTGAGGGTGTGGAGAGGAGAGGGGCGTGTGGGGCCAAGTGGGGATGTGTGGGTGTACGTGACTGTGGGAGTGTACTCGACACTGGATGATGCGGAGGGGGGGGAGGGGGCTATGGGAGTGTACTCGACACTATATGTGGGGGAGACTGTGGGTGTTTACTCTCCTAGTTGTGCTTGCGGGGGTTGAGCTCTGGCTCTTTGGACCCGACACTGGATGTGGGGGTGACTGTGGGAGCGTACTCGACACTGGATGTGACTGTGGGAGTGTACTCGACACTGGATGTGACTGTGGGAGTGTACTCGACACTGGAAGTGGGGGTGACGGAGTGTACTCGACACTGGAAGTGGGGGGTGACTGGGAGTGTACTAGACACTGGATGTGGGGGTGACTGGGAATGTACTCGACACTGGATGTGGGGGTGACTGTGGGAGTGTACTCGACACTGGATGTAGGGGGAACACTGTGGGAGTGTACTCGACACTGGATGTGGGGATGACTGGGAGTGTACTCGACACTGGATGTGGGGGGTGACTGGGAGTGTACTCGACACTAGATGTGGGGATGACTGGGAGTGTACTCGAGACTGGATGTGGGGGTGACTGTGGGAGTGTACTCGAGACGATGTGGGGGGTGACTGGGAGTGTACTCGAGACTGGATGTGGGGGTGACTGTGGGAGTGTACTCGAGACTGGATGTGGGGGTGACTGTGGGAGTGTACTCGAGACTGGATGTGGGGGTGACTGGGAGTGTACTCGAGACGATGTGGGGGGTGACTGGGAGTGTACTCGAGACTGGATGTGGGGGTGACTGTGGGAGTGTACTCGAGACTGGCTGTGGGAATGACTGGGAGTGTACTCGAGACTGGATGTGGGGGTGACTGGGAGTGTACTCGACTGGATGTGAGGGTGACTGTGGGAATGTACTCGAGACTGGCTGTGGGGATGACTGGGAGTGTACTCGACACTGGATGTGGGGATGACTGGGAGTGTACTCGACACTGGATGTGGGGATGACTGGGAGTGTACTCGACACTGGATGTGGGGATGACTGGGAGTGTACTCGACACTGGATGTGACTGGGAGTGTACTCGACACTGGATGTGGGGGTGACTGGGAATGTACTCGAGACTGGATGTTGGGGTTGACTGTGGGAATGTACTCGACACTGGATGTTGGGATGACGGAGTGTACTCGACACTGGATGTGGGGGTGACTGTGGGAGTGTCAATGTGGGCGTTAGTGTGTGGAACTGAGTGTGAGAGACTGTCGGGTGTGTGTGGGCGTGTCGGGTGTGTGGGCGTGTCGGGTGTGTGGGCGTGCCGGGTGTGTGTGGGCGTGCCTCCCTCCAGTAGGGTGTGTGTGGGCGTGCCTCCCTCCAGTAGGGTGTGTGTGGGCGTGCCTCCCTCCAGTAGGGTGTGTGTGGGCGTGCCTCCCTCCAGTAGGGTGTGTGTGGGCGTGCCGGGTGTGCGGGCGTGTGTGCGGGAGTCTCAGGTGTGTGTGTGTGGGCGTGCCGGGTGTGTGTGGGCGTGCCGGGTGTGTGTGGGCGTGCCGGGTGTGTGGGCGTGCCGGGTGTGCGGGAGTCTCAGGTGTGTGTGTGGGCGTGTCAGGTGTGTGTGTGGGCGTGTCAGGTGTGTGTGTGGGCGTGTCAGGTGTGTGTGTGGGCGTGTCAGGTGTGTGTGTGCGTGTCAGGTGTGGTGTGCGTGTCGGGCGTGTGTGGGCGTGTCGGGCGTGTGTGGGCGTGTCGGGTGTTTGCGGGCGTGTGTGTGGGCGTGTGTGTGTGTGTGTGGGCGTGTGTGTGTGTGTGTGTGGGCGTGCCAGGTGCGTGTGTGTGGCGGGACTGACCTGGTACTGGAGGTGGGCGAGGCGGAGCCAGGTCTCCACCTTGAGGCAGTAGGGGCTGAGGGAGGGGAGGACGGGCGTCCTGGTGAACTGGTACAGGTACACCACGTCCTTCTCAAAGTCCAGCTTGTGCACGGCCGGCTTGGGCGGCGGCGCCTCCTTCTTCGCCTTGTCCTCCTTCTTCTTCTCCTCTTCCTTCTTCTCTTTGTCTGCCTTCTCGGCCTTATCGTCAGCCTTCTCCTCCGCGTTATTAACCTCCGCCTCCTCCTTCTTCACCTCTTCTTTCACTTCCTCCTTCTTCTCCTCCGTCTGCTCTACAACCTTCGTCTCCGTCTCGGTCGTCATTGTCAATTTATAGATGTTTAAAAAAACTTAACAGTTAAAAACGCAAAGAACAAGCGTAGGGGATTCACGCGCCAGCGACAATCTCGCCTCGTCCGCCCGACACACACTGACCGCCTGGGCCACGCCCGCCTCCCGCCTCAAAGCCAAGCCGGTGACGTCACGCCAACGACGCCTGCTCATTGGGCCGCGCTCAGTCATATGAGAGTCTTGTGTTCCCCCACTCTGTAAATTCCACTTCTCGCCATTATACTCTCTTTTAAAATATTTATCAATAATGCATTCGCTTTGTGAAATGTCACTTAAGTCTGTGGAATGTTTATCTATTTGTGTGTGACTGTATAATATGTTATTTGACCTTAGAGCTTCCCCGCCATTTTTAAAGTCAAGATAATGCCCAGATGTTCCTCCACTTGTTGGTCACGGACACCTTTAATTCTTTAATGAATATTATCTTCGCTCCTGCTCCCAGGCTATTAAAAATTAGTTTCTTGCACTAGAAGCGATTTCATGTATGTACTTTATAATTTGTGCAATAATCCAGTAAACCAAAATTATTCTTGTAGCCCAGCCGTTTATTATAATTTGTTCTCTCAGGGACAGGAATCCTGTGAGTATATATATATATATATATATATATATATATATATATATATAATATTATACTGGCCCTTCCCAGGATGAAACCCCACATCAGTTGCCTATTTACTGCTAGATGTACCTATTTGTATTCCCGGGGTAGCTATTTACAGCTAGGTGTACAGATGCATTAGGTGAAAGGAAACGTGCCAAAACCCCATTTTGTTTCGCTCGGGTATCGAACTCAGGTAAAATAAATAATTTATATATAAATATATATAATATGTAGGGGTACCACCTCTGGTGCAATTATAGGGACCCACAGCCTCAAAGAAGGGAACACAGCATTCAGAGAAAACTTGCCATTTAACTCTAAATACGTACGAGTGTTCACTTCTACCCCCCCAGTTAAAGTGTATGTTGTACACTTTATTATACAAGGTTATACAGTTACATATATATCATTGTTTACAAAAAGTGAACATTAAGAAGACATAAGGGGAAGTTTGTTTCCTAGAGGCTGTAGATTTCTTCGAAATCCTCCGACGCCGGGCAGAAACAGAGGATGCAGCGGGCATTCCACCTCTGGATCGCGACACTGAGGCGCTGAAAGAGAAAACTTGCCGCTCTAGCGGTCTCTTGTATTGTCAATGAGCCTGGAACCAAGATCCTTAAGAAACCTTCTTGCGATATATTATATATATATATTATATAATGTGTGTGTGTGTGTAAATCACGAAGAAATTAACACATGATGAACATTGTGACAGTGTCAGACCACGAAGGAAGGATTAAGATAGGAATTTCCTTAAGTATTTTCGCATTTAATAATGCATAATGTATCCTTGTGAAGATGCATTATTAAATGCGAAAATACTCAAGGAATTTCCTGTCTTAATCTTTCGTGGTCTGACACTGTCACAATGTTCATCATGTGTTAATTTCTTCGTGATTTACACACACACACACACATATATATATATATATATATATATATGTTATATAATGTGTGTGTGTGTGTGTAAATCACGAAGAAATTAACACATGATGAACATTGTGACAGTGTCAGACCACGAAAGATTAAGACAGGAAATTCCTTGAGTATTTTCGCATTTAATAATGCATCTTCACAAGGATACATTATGCATTATTAAATGCGAAAATACTTAAGGAAATTCCTATCTTAATCCTTCCTTCGTGGTCTGACACTGTCACAATGTTCATCATGTGTTAATTTCTTCGTGATTTACACACACACACACACATTATATAACATATATATATATATATATATATATATATATATATATATATATATATATATATATATATATATATAATCAGTGAGAAGCTACAATTTTTAGGCAAACTTATCGCATATAACGTCATAATTTCCCACGCCCTGACAATTAGCATATAATAAATCACAAAATATAATGGATTTTAAGGTTACCATATATATTTCACTTGGCAGAGAGGCCGGCCGATCTTGCCACCATAGACAAACAATGCCAGCTAGTGTTATGATAGGTAATCAACTTACTCCTCCAAGGTATTTGCTCATCACAAACCCTCCTTACCTCTGCTCCAGCAAGATAAGGGTAAAGGCAAACACAGAGATCGTGGTCTTGAGCCGCATTGGGTCAAATATCATTCTTAAATATTGACGCACTCACTCGGGACGCCTAGCCATCCAGTCGGGGGATTCTAATAATATTAGAGAAATAATTTATTAAATATTTAATGGGGTAGCTTTTGACTGGCTGGGCAGAATTTGCACAACTACTGCTGCACATGCATGAAGTCGGTTGAGCGAATACACACACGCTCGCACAGCTGCGTGCGTGAGTGCACTCTATTGTGCTTACGGAGTCTCAGCTCTCAACCGTCAACTTGAGTAACGGTTAGACTCATTGGCCTGTTATAACTACTGAAAATGTAGCTAACTTGGTTATTTAATGTACACCGCTGTTCCCTTATTCGTGTATCACCCACTCTAAACATTCTTTGTCTGCCCTTGTTAATTCCTCAGAAAAATTTGTATGTAGTAATCATATCTTCCATGATTCTTCTTCCGATGGCGCGAGATTTAATTCCTTTAGTCTTTCCTCGTAAATCATACTTCTTAGCTTTGCTTTGTTGTCCAAAAGTCTTGGAAAGGTTGGGGGCAGGAAGAGGGATGGGGAGGTAAAATTCTGGAAGAGGATTTGGATGTAGAGAGAGAAGAGCCATGAAAGATATTTCTCTGTTTTGGGATTGGTCTAATGGCAATCCTTTGAACTTTATGCACTTCGTTTCGTTGATGATAAATCCATGCTGGCGACGCAAATTTCAGAACTGGTCTGGCATACGTGATGTATAAGGTTCTGAATGAAATTATGCAGATTGCTAAAGGTAGTTCTTATGTTGACCAACCTAGCATACACTATTGAAGATATCAGATTGGTGTGGCCTTCAGGAGATAGGTTAGGAGTAAATTATTTGAAGCAACTAGGGGACTCGAACCTTCGATCTGGGTCGAACCCACGCACCTTATCCCTGGACCACGACATGGTATAAGTTATACAACCTGGGAGTCCAACAAATCCCAGGTTGGTAGTCGTAGCTACGACTACGTTAATCGACTGCGATAGTCGTAGCTCAATCGATTTAAGGCAGTGTCTGGGATGCTCCCGTACGCAGGTTCGAATCCTCGTCACGGTCCATGTGGATTTGTTCATTTAATCCACAGGAAGTCTGGAGGCCCCTACTGAGGCCAGTCCAGGTTTTACATATAATCCCCCTTATGCACTCTAGGTTCTACCACAATACACTCCAGCTTCAGATACACAAGAAACCACACTAACGGGATATATCAGTGAGAATCCTCCCTCATTGTTCCAACTGATTTTCTCGCGGCAGGGCTGGAGCAGCCATACACTCCATTAAGAATGGCTTTCAAAACGGAAATGGAGAAAAAGACACGTAATGAGAACTGCGCCTCTTCGACGAAAGCCGAGCTAACTGACAATGTTGTAGCGCTAGAAACATTGAAAAGAAACATCATAGGTGCAGTTATCTGCACCGATTCAAAAGTAGCAGTGCACAGCGTCACGAAAAATCAGGCAGAAAACCAAGTGATAGTCACTGAAATCAAGGGCGGTGTGAAATTACTAACCAATCAGGAAAGGGCGATAAAGTTCCTGTAGATGCCCCTCCCAAGTTGAAATCTGTGGAAATGAACGAGCAGATGTGCTGACTGCCGAGAGCGTTGAAGGAAACCATATTGATTACTTCGTACCCAAAACAGTTCTAAAAGTTAAAGTATCATCAGGCAACAGCACCGTGACAAGGTAACTGAGGAAAGGAAGAGAGGAGAACGAATCGGTGACTTTGTGTGCTGGTGAAATATGGTTGCAATCCCAATCATTATGGAAGAAGGGCAGGTAGGTAGGTGGCCGAGGAAGAGAATCAGTAATTGCGAGAATTCGACTTGGATACAAACACTTATGGAGATTCTGAGTGGAAACAACAGCTAAGCAGCGAGCGACAGTGACAGACACCACCTTAACCACTACTTCAGAGTCTGTGCCCATCCTCTAAGAGACATTTAGAAATGTGTGTAGAACAATAAACAACATTGAGTAAAGAAAACACAATACTTTTCCTCAAGTCCTTACATTCCTACTTGCAAGTCACTTTAGATGCAATATGAGGATATTCTCTATAAGACGAGGAGTATAGTGAGTGGCAGGAGTTACAGCCCCGCTCCTGTGCCAGGTAAGTCCACTACGGCCTCACCATAGCCCGTGCTACTTGGAACTTTTTGTTCCAAGTAGCGAATCTTAAACAACATCCCTGTAACTCATACCGTCAGCCCCCAGGGATCTAATGACTAGACATTCAGCAATGTAACGCGTGAGATCGTGACCGAATTCTTACTTATGGAATACTGAGGGCTGGGAGACTCGTCCCTTGTAGCCACCTGCTACAGGTAACTGAAACCACCTGCCACAGATAACTGTAGCCACCTGCCACAGATAACTGTAGCCACCTGCCACAGATAACTGTAGCCACCTGCCACAGATAACTGTAGCCACCTACCACAGGTAACTGTAGCCACCTGCCACAGGTAACTGTAGCCACCTGCCACAGGTAACTGTAGCCACCTACCACAGGTAACTGTAGCCACCTGCCACAGGTAACTGTAGCCACCTGCCACAGGTAACTGTAGCCACCTGCCACAGGTAACTGTAGCCACCTGCCACAGATAACTGTAGCCACCTGCCACAGATAACTGTAGCCACCTGCCACAGATAACTGTAGCCACCTGCCACAGATAACTGTAGCCACCTACCACAGGTAACTGTAGCCACCTGCCACAGGTAACTGTAGCCACCTGCCACAGGTAACTGTAGCCACCTGCCACAGGTAATTGAAGCCACCTGCCACAGGTAACTGTAGCCACCTGCCACAGGTAACTGTAGCCACCTGCCACAGGTAACTGAAGCCACCTGCCACAGGTAACTGAAGCCACCTGCCACAGGTAACTGAAGCCACCTGCCACAGGTAACTGTAGCCAC